GGCGAAGGTTCCCATCCCTGTCTTCGTCGGCGTCGTCGTCGACTTCCCTCGCCGCCCTTCCCCCCTCCTCGACGTCGCCCTCGCCGCGGCCCCGAGGCGCCCACTGGCGAGGCGGGGGGAGGGGGGGGGGGTCGACGACGACTTGCAAATCTTGTCCCACCAGCCCTCTGGGCGTCGGTGGTTTAGAGAGTGTCCTCGTCCACCCATCCTTGTTCCCCTTCGGGGAGGGGTTTACCCCTCCCCCTGCCCCCTCCCCTGGACCTGGACGGGGGGGCCCGCGAGCCGTCGGGGCGTCCAAAACGGCCTCGGCGAGGACGCCAAAATCATTTGGTTTACTGTGGTTTTGGCACCATTTTGGCATCCTGAGGGGGGGGCTGTAATTAGTACCCCCTCCTGCGATCGATCGCACCCAAGATGGCCCACAGATGACACTTAAGGCCCCCGAAGGTGCCCCAAGAGGGCCCCAAGAGGTGGCCAGGACGCCCCAAGCGGCCCTCAGGATGCCCTCAAGAGGCTCCCAAGAGACCGCCAAGAGGCCCCAAAAGACCACCCAGATGCACCCAAGATGCTCCAAGAGGCCTCGACGAGAATGTCCAATCATTGATTGTACTAAGGTTTTGGCCACATGTTGGCCTCTTGGGGGGGCACTGGTTAAGATGACCCCAAGAGCGCCTGGGGGGGGGCCACGATGACCTCCAAGATGGCTCAAGATATCCAAAGATGCCTCATAATGGCTTCTTCTGTGTGCTGCCCACTTCCCTGATCGAGGCAATTCCTCTGGGCATCGTTTCTGGATGGGCTGGTGGGGAGCCGCGAAGCGTCAACAATTTGGTCATTGTTCAAGTCGTCAGCGTCGGCGCCCCCCAGTCAGAAGGTTTCGCACTACGACGTCGTGAGGGTTCTCTGCGCGCTCGAGGCAGTGTGCAGGCGCGAGCTGAAGCAGAAGGGCATCGTGATCATCCCAGGGATCGCGAAGATCTCGGCCAAGCGCGTGGAGGCGTCCCAGACGAAGATGATCAAGGATTGCAATTTATATGTTCTATTCTAGTCTACTGTACCCCTGTATGCTCATTGCTCCGCTGTGCTCTACCCTTGCGAGTCCAATGTTACCCTGTTCGGGCGAGCTATGTTATGCTCCGTGTGCTGATATTCCCCTCTCTCTTATTATCCCTTGCTCCTTGCTCAATTCCCACCAGGGAATGTCACCTCTAGCAGCGGGAAGACACATGCAATTTCTGGCCCTGGGGCCCCTTAGTTTACTTTAGTTATTTCAGCGTCGGTCTCCTCTGCTCCTATATGCTCTACTCTATTGTCCGTTTTACAAGCCTCCTATACGACGTCCCTATCTAATATATTATGCTCGACCTAGCTCAAGAACAAAGACGTCACGATCCACGCGAAGCCAGCCCATCTCCTCACCAAGGCTGTCACCATCGCCGAGCTCAAGCGCATCCCCCTGCATGGCCAACCAGCGGCCGTCGTGGGGCAAGGGAACGACTCTGAGGAGTACAGCTCGGACTAGCAGGGCGTAGGAAGTGAGTTTCGGTGCGATCAGCTGGTTGAGATGGGTTGGATGGTGTCAACTTTCAGGCTATCGACGTGAGTTCCCTGGTTTATGGTATCCACCGTGTGGTGCGAAGTTTAACGGTTCCTGGTTTGGTTTCAGTCGTTTCGCCATCTCAATCGGCTGCTCGACTGGCCAGCGATCAGGCTGGGCTCGGCGAGAGTTCGGAGGGCGCCGTCCAGGAGGGGGCGATTGCCGACGCGGGAGGGGGGTGGCGGAGGGTGAAGGAGGATGAGGAGGAGGGGGGCGGAGGAGCGACATGAGTAGCACGATCAATGGGGGGTGAATCGCAAGTTAAAGAACGAGGAGGATCCCGCGGGCTTGGTCGGGGCCCTCCTCGAACTCCTGCGAGTGTAGTTGTGTCTCTGCGAGCCGCAGCTGCGCAGTGTTATCTGGCGGCGAGAGCGCCTGAGCGACGAAGAACGACCGCCTCTGTCGCTCCCCTGGCCCTCTTCCTCGAGAACCCCGCTTAAACGTACAACTCAACAACGTCCGTCCTAGAACGGGGGCGAAGGAGTCATCGCACGCGGGGCCAGGGCCCCAAGAAATGCATCGGTCCCTTAAGTCTGGCGCCCACATTCCTGGGGGGGCGCGATGGCTTGAACAACTGCGTGGAAAATCTGATGCAAGGCTGATGTGTTAAGGGGGTTGTAGGTGGGTAGCTTGCGGGGGTTAGCCTAGCGTCGACAGCGTCGAACACGTGTCTAGCAATGTTTAGCTGTGTCCCCAGAGGGCTGTGGGCGCCGAGGCTTTGGGGCTGGTGGGTGACACAATTTTCAGTCGGTTCGGCGGCTTTGAAAAACGCGCAACAGACGGATATGAAGTTTGCTGTTTGTGCCTTCTTCCCCCGTCGGTTCGGCGGCGTTGAAACCAGAAGCATACTCAGTGCGACAGGTCTGCTGCTCTACATGGTCATCGAGAGGCTGTCCTCAGCGAAGACCCCCACCCCGAGCTATGACGGCTGCTTGCTGCGTGGTTGGGGGGGGGGGGGGGCTTGAAATTTATGGAGCGCCTCCTAGAGGTCCATCTTAGGCCCCCTAAGCAGGCTCCGATAGAGCCCCCATAGGACCCCACGACAGGGCCAGGATGCGTCCACAATGTGCTGCAGAAATGCCACCCCCTAGGAGTGCACAGACCCCCCCCTGGGGGGGAGTCCACGAACCCCTGTTGGACTCCCCCATGGGGGGTCCGTGGACTTCTCTGGGGGCATGTAATCTGTCGCAAGCACTACCCTTTAACGCGGCAAGTTGTCAAGACCCCCGCCCAAGCCCCAACGCATCGCGGGCCCAGAACCCTTTGGGGGCTGCAACTGCCCCCCGCTCGGTCGACGCCCATGGCGAAGCGACCGAACACGGGGGAAAAAGGGGGAGGTGGAAATCGGAATGGGGCCTGTTAGGAAACGGCTACGGCAACAAACGGGGTAAGGGGGGGATAGCTCCACCGAGGCCTAATAACCACGACCTCCCCGTGCCCCTACAGCTGTCTTCTGCGATCGTCCCCATTGGTGCACGAGGCATTCTCCATGCCTGTATGGGCCTTCTTCAGGCCACGCAGCAAGCAGCCTGCTACGGGGCCCCAGCCATGTCTTGAGTAATGTCTGTTCTGCCTGAAGGAAGTCCAAGCGTGATGCATGTTGAGTCCTGCTGTGTGTTCGGGGGCGGTGTCCAGCTGCGACGACTGGGAGGCCCGTCATCTCTCGCCCTTGGTGTCAGAGGTCCATTCTAGATCAGGGCTCCGTTCGAATGCCATTGCATTGTTGGATCAGAGCTGCCCTCAGCAGCAGTGTACTGTTTTTGTTTTTTGTTCGCTGCCACTTCACAGCTGTCTTCCTTGGCAGCATCCGAGCTGCCGATGTCTGGGGGAGGCAGCGGCGGCCTGTCCGTGGCAGCTGCCTCTTCCAAGGCGGCCAGGAAGCGCTCTGCACCTGCTGCCAGCAGCGGCGGCGCTGGCGACTTCGACGCTCCGCCGCCCGCGGTGAACCCCAAGAAGAAGCGCATGATGGGCGACGGCTGCAAGTGCGGGCTGTGCCATGCGAAAGCCAAGGATTGTTGGGATGAAGCAAGTCGCCGCATGCCCTTCAAACCTAGCCCAAAAGCACGGTGCCCCTGGTTGGGGCGTGGTTTCACTTTTTGTCTGAGTGTTATTCGCTGGTCAGGCCGCCGCGGTGGGCTGCAATGCCTACGTAGGGGTGGTCGGTGAGAGCTTTTGTTAGGAAGGTGTGCCTCCAAGGGCACTCAGGAAGACAGGTTATAGGTTGCGCATGCTGCCACTTGCCCCCCCAGCAGGACAAGAAGTGGGCCCGCTACAAGACGTCCCCAGGCGGCTCCCAGGTGCCGCTCGACGATGGCTGCCAGGAGTGCTTCGAGTTGTGGGACCTCGCCTTCGCGCACTGGACGTGGCAGGAGTTGTGTGAGCAGAACGCCAGCGTCAAGGATGCGCAGGCCGCTGTCTCGCAGGCTCGGACTCTCAGGGAGTCTGGCGGCGCGCCTCGCGATCGCGCGTCTGTGACCTCCGAGGTGACATGCAGGCTGAGGGTGACGAGGGCCTTCGTCTGCGCCAACGACAAGGAGCTCAGGCAGGCCGCGAAGCAGAAGAAGCAGCTGCCGAAGTCGTCGACGAGCCACCTCCCGACAGTCAAGGTGCCGTCGGAGCAGGACCCATCCAAGGACGAAACAGTGATGTGCTTCAGGGACGAGTCTCGGCCATTCCGGAGCCTGGAAATCATCCTCGAGACGAATGTCGGCAAGGAAGTCGCCCACATGTCAGCCGCCAACAATCTGTGGAGCAACCAGGCCAATAGTTACCTCGCCCACTTCCACGGCAAGACGATCGACGACGTCGGCACGCGCCAGCTTCTATTGAAAGACGAGAACATGCACACTCAGACCGTGGAGGAGTTCTTGGACAAATTCAACAAGGAGAAGAACGGAGTCAGGCCCGATGCTGGACTACATGGCGACAGAGGGGGGGGCGGCCAACCTGGGGCAGGCGAGTGTCAATCAGATGATGATGTCTTCAGTGATGGCGCCGCGGCGGCGGCCGCGGTCTCAGGCTGTAGCTCTCTTGGCGGAAGTTGCCCTGGCATGTATGCTACGCCGACTAAGGCTGGCCCTCTCGCGTCCGTTCGCTCCTCTGCAGGGACTCCAGGAAGTGCCGACGCAGACGGAGACTCCGATGATGGCGCTCGCAGCGTTGCCGCATCGCGACTGAGCCATGCAAGCGGCCTGACCAGAGGCAGCTTGGCTCCAGGATCTGGCGAGACTGCAGGACTCATTCGGGTCTTGTTTCAAATGTGTATGGCCTTTCGTCGGGTTCTGAACGTTTGCGGCCTATCCTCGTTGCCACCGTGAGCTGGGAATGTGCTGTATTGGGGGAGGGGGCCTGTCGCCTTTGGGGGTCGGCATGCGTCGGTTCGCCCTGGTCCCGAACTGGAACCATGCAGCGTTGGGCCTCGCACTCGTGGGAACAGCCCCTGCACGGTGGCCGTGCGGTGCTGCGCGGTGCCGAGCTCTCACGAGCGCGTTGGCAGAGTCTGCGTGCAAACCCGACCCCGCCAGGATGCCTCGAGAAGTGGAAGACCAAGCTCAACCTGGTTGCCATCATGACTGGCAAGCTGGATGGGCGCACCATGTCAGGGGCCAAGAAGGCGCTCGGGAGAATGAGGGCATCTTCCAACGAGCAGGCGAACCTGGACGCTGCGCTGATGGCGAATCTCATCAAGTTGGCGGAGTCTGCGGAGAAGTGCGCCCCTGAGTCCATCAAGGTCACGCCGATGAGCGAGCTCACGCCCCACATCGACAAGATGATGCAGGAGTCCGTGGAGTGGCCCGACGTCGTGCAGACCGCCCTGGTGACGAAGAGGCTGCAAGCCGTCATCGCCGAGAAGAACTGGAGCCTCGTGATCAAGATCTGCAAGCCGTGGGGCATGGGCGACGAGATGGCGTTCGACCCCAAGGCCCCTTGTGTGGCAGCGTGCGGAGAACAGATGTGCCACAAAATCCAGCTCTTCAACAAGGTCGTTTTCGAGAAAGTGTTCATCCAATTGATCCGCCAGGGGCCCGACACCGTGTCCGAGGTGATCAGCTTGGCGGCGCATTGCCGAGATTCCCTTGCTGACATTGACCTCGTGGAGGCGGAGAACGCGGTTGCAGCGGCCTTGGAAGAGTGGAACACGATCTGGGGCTGTCTCGTAGCTCTGGGCTCGGACGGCCTCCGCGGGCAGCATTTGGACAGTGGCCTTAAAGTGTGCTTTGCGCACACACCGATTCGACACCCAACCGCCGCTAGCTACGATTAGCCATTCGTTTCCTGGGCTACACGTGCGTATGTATGATGTTTAGTTTTTGCGTATATATGTAGTGTCTACGGAGCTTGCGGCGTTTGGGTTGTCGGTGCCAAGGGCCGTTGACTGTTTTCCTCGGTGGGGGTCTCTTGGTCGAGGCCCACGGCGTGGTTGAGTAACGATGCCATGGCTTCGATGCACGGCTGCGCTCCCAAACCCTCCAGGACGACATGCTGTTGCTGAGTTCGCACATGGGCAAGGCTTCGAGGACTGTGACTGCCTTGGTGGCTGCAGCAATTGAGGCCACTGACTTCTGGAACTCCAGGCTGCAGGGGTACGTCCGCTGCGCCAAGGATGTCAACAAGCTGGCGTCCCAGTACGACGACGTCGTCGCCGTCTTTGCCGCGCTGACCGATGACCCAGCGGAGTTCGTTCCGCGGGTGCAGGATGCAATCGCCAGGCTCGGCGAGTTCAAGGAGAAGCTGCCGCCTGCTGCCACTGCCAATCTGTTAGACACGGCGCTGGGAACCATCCTGGGCAAGAGCAAGGTCTTCATGGCCGCTTGTGCGACGCCCGACAATGTGAGCGAGAAGTTCATCCAGGATTGGCAGGCAGTACTCTCCGAAGCAGTCATCCTCTATCCCATGGCCGAGGAGTTGAACCAGACGATGATGTCCCTCGGTGCGAAGTTGCGGGACATGGGACTCGCCGTCAAGCTGGCCGAGCTGACCAAGCAGATGAAGGAGATGGCCAAGTCGGCCGCCGCTGGCCTGGAGACGGCGTGGTTGCGAGAGTTTAAGCTGACTGAGTGCAACGCCATGGTCAACGCCATTCGCGAGCTCAACGTCCCCCGCGACCATGCGATTGCCATCGCGGCGGTCGGCCTGGCCGACAATGTCGCAGAGTACGTGGCGATGGAGATCGGGAAGACCAACTTCGAATGCCAAGCTCCGTGAACTTATCATTGCTGCAGAAGGGTTGACCACGCAGTGCGGCACGACCATCGACGGCGTGCAAGCCAAGGTGTCGATGATCAACAAGACTATCACGATCGACGGTCTGCTGCAGGAGTTGACGGCCCACGGCTCTTGCATGGATGACAGGGCGACGGCGAACAACTTCGACCTGGTTGTGTCACTGGACAGGTGCACGAAGCAGCTCCACGAGCTCATCTCCGCCAGCGCCGATGCAGACCACCCCGCCGCTGCGAGTAAGATGCTTGACGACGCGACCAAGTTCCTGACTGAGCTGCACGGCGCCTACATCAAGAAGAGCAAGGCTGCCCTCGAGGTCAAGCTGAATGAAATCAAGCCGCTGAACGGCGGCATGGACAACGGGGAGTACTGGGTGGACGCGTTCAGAGGTGAGACCTGGGCTGAGTTCTCGGAGCACGCGTCCAAGACCGTGCTGAAGGCGGACCCCAATGCGCTGGTCGATGCGACGTCTGGATTGCAGCAGGCGGTGCCAATCGAATTGCGCAACGTTGATGGTGCCCCCATGTCGCCACCGCGCTCCCCAATGCAACGCGTTTTGGGTTGTTCAGTTTCTCGCGTCCTGGGTGTCCGCGGTCCGCTCTTCCTCGGGGGGCCGCTATCGCGGCGAATGCCCCCGCCTCTCGCCATCGCCCCACCCTTGCCCGCCCATCGTCGCCCCCAAGGCGTTTCGATCAGTGACAGGGGGCACCATCATCGATGCCACTCTCGGTTGGAATCCCTGAGACCCTGGATCTTTATGAGAAGTATTGCGACACTGCGATGGTCGAGAAAGAGGCTGTCGTCGTGGACGACGCCAAGCAGCAGATCTACGGAGCCCGCCGCATCAAGTTCCAGGGCGTCCTGATGTACCATTTCCGGAATGAGAAGCAGGCCGCGGGCCTGCGCACCAAGGTGCAGGGCGAGATCAGGGAGGTCCGCAAGTATGTGCAGGACTACCAGCAGCTCCTGCCCGCCCTCCTCGCCAAGATGGTGAAAGACGCCTTGGCCATGAGGGTCAAGCTCTGAGGAGGCGGTGGAGGAGGAATGTACGCAGGAGTGGGATGAGGATAGCAAGGACCCCCCCACCCCGTTTGGCCAACCACATGGTTCCCCGCCAACCGCCCCCCACCACCCCATCTCAGACCGCCCCCATCCAGAGCCCTCATCCTCCTCCTGGGGTCCAGCTCGCAGCCAGGCATTCGACCCGCTCGGACGGGCCAGCCTGCGAGACAGGAGAAAGTGTCAGAGCGTGAGGGGGAGTCGAGGCGGTGGGAAAGATAACACGGCGACCAATCATAACAACAAAAAAACACGCAACCTAACCACTTTTTTCTCGGTATTCATCTACCTCATGTCATCGCCCCCTCGTCCTCCATTCGTGTCCTCATTCGCCTCCCTGTCTATCCTGATGATTGTCCTTGTCATCGTCCTTGTCTCAAGTTTCCCCATCGTATCCCTGACTCGCTTCGTCTTCCATCGGCCCCTTCCTCGTTATTCAAGCGACTGGTTCCATTCTGCCAACCACCATGGCAGCTCATGGGTTCGGCAAGGGTCGTGCCACGTTGCCTGGCCTGTGGGTCAGGAGCCTCGGGGGTGCATGCGAGGGTATCGTGGGATGCTTCTCGTGGGCCTCTTGGAGGGCTATCGCTGGCACCTGGATTGTTGTTGGAGGCTTCGCCATGGCACGACACGTAGCAGCACAACATACAAGAGCCATATTGGAGCCGTTAATCAACTCCTGCTCACATCCAGGCCCGAGCAACCACAGGAGGCCAACCCAACCTCACCTCTTCCATATCACCAGCTGTCCCATGACGGGGGCAGTTGATGATGTGGAAGATGAGTTAGGGCGCTAGGTCGCATCGTCTCCTCTCCTACTCTAGTTTACGTCGTCCTCTATCGCGCAATCTACGTAGCCCCCCTGGCGCGCCCGCTAAATCGTGCTTTCACCTGCTCAGCCGTGCAACGCCGCGGTCCCCACCGCACTCTCATGATGGCTCGACCTGGCCCGCGCGTCATTGGGCTGTGCCCTGTCACGCTTCCTACCGCTCATTGTGTCATCGTGCATTTTCCTAATTGCCATGGCAACTCTCACTATGCTATCATACCCCGTGCGCCATTGCAACGCGCCGCCCAAAAGTTATCCCACGGGGGCCTAACGCGGCCCAAGGGGGCCCCAAGAACGGCCCAAGTGAAATACGAACTGCAATTTCAAGACCTTCCCGCCACGATGGCCCCAACAGCCACCCAAGGACCCCCTGGGCGCCCCGCGGAAGGTCCCAGAGGCTTCCAAAAGGCACCCAATCCAGAGGCTCCCAAAAGGCCCCCGAGAAACGATGGGTTTCTTCCTTCGGTGTTGCGCGGGCCGTTCCGATTGTTCGGTTCACGCGCGCGTGGCCCGTCGCATCCTGACGCTGCGCGGCGGGCCCCGTCGCGGACGATGTGATTGAGGCGTTCGCTCGAAGCCCACATTCCATGAGAGGCCCCCCCCGCAGTTCCAGGCGCGCGGCTGCAGTTGCGTTTTGCGCCGCCCTTTCTCTGGGCGCGGGCTCCCGCATTTCGGGATCACGTGACCAATTTCTGCTGTTAGTTTCGTGTTTGTTTTCGTATGGCCGCAATACCTATTTTTGAGTTATTTTTTTGTTATCTCGGACTTTTCGCGGCGTAGAGCCCTCAGCAGGGCATCCAACATCATAAGCCCAGGCACTGGCGCGCTCTGCTCGGGCTGAACGACAGGGGGGGGATAGGGAAAGGGGGGATCACGAAGTCTGCTGCACGCAGCTGGTTTCGGCCCGGCCGCCGGGCCCATTCCTCAATACATGGGTGCCTCCCGGCGCTGGGAGGCGCTGGGGAAATCAGCTACGTGAGCTGATTCACTGCCCTACCCTCTGGTATCCCCTCCTTTCGTTTTCCCCGATCTGCTGTGCCCGCCGCGTCCAGGTGCTCCCATTCCCCACGCGGGACTGGCGCGAGCCGCCCGTCACGCTGAGGCCCCCGCGCACAGCTCGCCTCCGGCGCGAGCCGCCCGGCACGCTCACCCGACCATATCGCCAAGAGCAGTCGTTATCTCCACACGCTTTTGGGCATCGCTCCCACGACGGGAGACGCTGCTGCCGGTCTGCCCACCCGAGGCGTGGGACAGTCCCAGACCCCGATTGAGCTACAGGCGTTCCTTCTCCTCTTCCTCCTCCTCCTCCTCCTCCTCCTCCTCCTCCTCCTCCTCCCCCTCATCATCACCATCACCATCACCATTATCATCATCATGGTCACCATCATCATCAACACCATCATCATCACCATCATCATCATCATAATCATCATCAGCATCGCCACTATCATCATCATCATCATCATCATCATCATCATCATCATCATCATCATCATCATCATCATCATCATCATCATCATCATCGCCATCATGAACAACATCATCACCACCGTCAGTTATCATCATAATCATCATCCGCATCCTCATCCTCATCCTCATCCTCATCCTCATCCTCATCCTCATCCTCATCCTCATCCTCCTCCTCATCCTCCTCATCCTCCTCATCCTCGTCCTCATCTTCATCTTCATCCTCGTCACCATCACCACCATCACCACCACCACCACCATCATCATCATCACCATCATCATCATCATCATCATCATCAGCACTATCATCATCAGCAGCATTGTCCGCCCCCCCCCCTCCTCCCCGTCCTCTGGGCCGGCTGTGCCGGAGGAGTTCCTGCAGCCACTTCAGAGGTGGCCCGACCTGATGCAGCCCTGTGCGGCTACCGGCGTGGTGCGGCGGGGGCCGCGGGGGGCGACTGGCGGAGGCGGAGGCGGCGGGCTGCGACGCAGGCCGCGGGGGCGACGGAGGCCGTGGGGGCCCTGGTGCCTGGCATCGCTCGGAGGTGCGCGGTCTTCTCGGCGAGGCCAGCCCTGGAGCATCCGGGCCGTCAAGGATTAAGTCGGGCATGTCCCTCCGCAGGAGGGATGCTCAAGAACAGTGCAAAAATAGTCTGGGGCCGATTTTTTGGGTATTTCTTGCCATTTTGGGGCATGTTTTGACTGTTCTTGATTGTTCCTCCTAAATCCGGTTCTAATTAGGGGGACATGCCCGACAGAAGCCTAGAAGCAGCCTTGGATCACCTTGCGAAGCTCCTGGGTTGCTGCGAGCGTGGACAGGCGTGTTGGTCGTGTCTCCCTTGTCCCCTGGTTTCTGCTTCTCGCAGCGCGCAGCAGGGCCAACACCACGGAGAGCCCTGAGTCCGTGGGAGCTCACGTAGAGAGGCCACCCCAAGGCCCTTCGTTCACCAGTCGCGATAGGGGGGAGAGGGAGGGGGGGGGGGGGGGCAGCAGGAGGAGGAGCAGGAGGCGGAGGAGGAGGAGGAAGAGGAGGAGGAGGAGGAGGAGGAGGAGGAGGAGCAGGAGCAGGAGCAGGAGCAGGAGCAGGACGGAGGGGGGGGCGAAGGCGGCGGCGGCGACGGCGACGACGACGACGCGACGAGCGTCGAGGCAAGCCTCGAACCTCGACACTCTCGAGGTCCATTGGGCTTCGAGCTGACCCCCCTTTTACACACGGGTGTTGTGAAGCATTCGCTGCGAGTTCTCTTGCACCGTTTCTGGCCTCACGGCCCTTGCGGATCGATCCGATCCGAACCGTGCTGCTTGCTGCACGACAAACATCAACTTTTCCGCGGCATCGGATATCGGTGTCCTCCTCGTCCCACTTCGTCACATCTGGGCCGTCAATGCCTGCCGCAGTCGCGTCGATCTTTGAGATACCCCCTTTCCTCGCTGAGGCCCATCGGCGGCGAGCGTGGGGGGGAAGTGGGACGGAGAAGGCCGTGTCAGAAGGCGGCGGGACTTCTCAGAGGCCCTCGCGCCTTCTGAGAAGTGCTCTGTGTCTTCGGGGAAGCCCAGACAACTCCTCAGACGGCCGGGGGACTTCCGAGCCTTCTGAGAAGGCCCGCCCCTGCTCACTTCCCCCCCCCGGGCTCGCCCCGAGCTCAGCACTTGTTCGCAAGCCGCCTCCAGGAAGCTGCCCCAGCTCCCAGAAGTGCGTGCGTGCGCACGCTTCTCCAGCCGTGCGTGCGTCTCCAGTCTCCGCCTGCATCCAGCCGTGCGTGCGTCTCCAGCCTCTCGGCTCCCTCTGCGCCCCTCGGCCGCCGCCTCGGCGGGGCGGCCGCGCCTCGCCGCCTGCGCTGCTCTTGCCGCCGACGAAAAAGTCGGCCGGCCGCGACGGCCACGGGCGACGGCCACGGCGACCACGGCCACGGCGACGGCGGCGACGGGCGGCGGCGGCGGCGGCGCCGACGACGGACGGCGGACGACGGCCGACCACGACGACGCCCGACGCTCCCGCGGGCCGAAGCTCGGCCTCCCCGCCCCCCGCCCTTCGCGCGCCCTGCCCGCTCGCGCAGGGCGGCGCCCGGGGCGCCCTCGCTGAGGGCGCAGGCCGCGCCGGCGGTGCGGGCAGCAGGCCGGCGCGCCGGGGGGCACGGGCCTCCGCCGTGCCTCCGAGGGCCCCCCCGGGAGGGCGCCAGCCCGGCCTCCGAGGGGCCTCCGGGGGCCTCCGAGGGCGTCTATCTTGGGGGGGGGGGGCCCGCGGAGGCCGCGCGCGGCGCGCGCGCGCGCGGGCTTGCCGCGGTCGCCCTGGCAGCTCCTCGCCCCCATCGCCCCCTCCTGCTCCTTCGGCTTCTTCGGCTCCTTCGGGCTCGGCGTGGGGCGTTCCAGGAAGGGCGTGGCCCTTCGAGGAGTCAACGTGGGTGTTCGCTGCCCTGCTGCGGCGGAAGGGCGGCTCCCGCGGAGGCAAGGCGGGGTCTGCTGGCGGAGGCCGGCGGGAGCAAGTCTTGCCCGCCCCCCCTTCGCGAGGTAGCGACTTGTTTGGATTCAGGGTCTCGGGAGCGGTCCACATGGAGCCGGGGCGGCGCCAGTGGGCTTGTTCAGATTCCATTGGGAGACGGTTCTCATTCACTGGCTCACTCACTGCTCTTCTTCCCACTCTTTTTCGTCGTCATCCTTCTCCTCGTCCGACTCCCTCGGAGAGTCTTTGTGGGCCTCAGGGGCATCGGAGACGGTCTGACATACCTCGAGGCTCCAGGACTCGGCAGCGGATTCGGTGGGACGACATCGGCCCGGCCCTTTCTGGCAGATTTCGAGATTGCTTGCCCTCCGATGGCGGCCCGTGGACGACGGAAGTGTCACTTCAGATACTGAGGCGGTTGAATTCGCATCACTCGTTTGTGGCTTGTCAAAGATAATAATTACCCTGGCGACGTACCCAACCCCTGCGCAAACGCGGGGTGCAAATAGTTTAGGATGCTTTCTAAGGGGGGCGATGACGGAGCGAGGGTGACACATGTCTGCTGACGGAAGTCGGGAGACTCGCAGGACACTGGCTACAGGACAAGGGCTTGATAAAGCTGATGAGCTACAATTCCTGAGCACTCCGCCGCCTCCTCCTGACCCGCAGCCCCTCCGGCCTAAGAATACGGAGGTCTGTTGTGGATCCGCGTAGCGCGTCACTGTGCTGGGCCCCCCAGCAGGCCTCGAAAGTGGCGACAGTTTCACAGATCGCAGCCCCCCAGGGATGGCGAGGTCTAATTTGGGTCCGCGCGTGGCGTCACTGTGCTGGGCCCCCCAGCAGGCCTCGAAAGTGGCGACAGTTTCACAGATCGCAGCCCCCCAGGGATGGCGAGGTCTAATTTGGGTCCGCGCGTGGCGTCACTGTGCTGGGCCCCCCAGCAGGCCTCGAAAGTGGCGACAGTTTCACAGATCGCAGCCCCCCAGGGATGGCGAGGTCTAATTTGAATCCGCCCGTGGCGTCACTGTGCTGGGCCCCCCAGCAGGCCTCGAAAGTGGCGACAGTTTCACAGATCGCAGCCCCCCAGGGATGGCGAGGTCTAATTTGAATCCGCCCGTGGCGTCACTGTGCTGGGCCCCCCAGCAGGCCTCGAAAGTGGCGACAGTTTCACAGATCGCAGCCCCCCAGGGATGGCGAGGTCTAATTTGAATCCGCCCGTGGCCCACTGTGCTGGGCCCCCCAGCAGGCCTCGAAAGTGGCGACAGTTTCACAGATCGCAGCCCCCCAGGGATGGCGAGGTCTAATTTGGGTCCGCCGTGGCGTCACTGTGCTGGGCCCCCCAGCAGGCCTCGAAAGTGGCGACAGTTTCACAGATCGCAGCCCCCCCAGAGATGGCGAGGTCTAATTTGAATCCGCGCGTGGCCCTCACTGTGCTGGGCCCCCCAGCAGGCTCGAAAATGGCGACAGTTTCACAGATCGCAGCCCCCCAGGGATGGCGAGGTCAAATTTGAATCTGCGCGTCGCCCTCACTGTGCTGGGCCCCCCAGCAGGCCTCGAAAGTGGCGACAGTTTCACAGATCGCAGCCCCCCAGGGATGGCGAGGTCAAATTTGAATCTGCGCGTCGCCCTCACTGTGCAGGGCCCCCCAGCAGGCCTCGAAATGGCGACAGTTTCACAGATCGCAGCCCCCCCAGAGATGGCGAGGTCTAATTTGAATCGCGCGTGGCCCTTGTGCTGGGCCCCCCAGCAGGCCTCGAAAATGGCGGCAGTTTCACAGATCGCAGCCCCCCAGGGATGGCGAGGTCTAATTTGAATCCGCGCGTCGCCCTCACTGTGCTGGGCCCCCCAGCAGGCCTCGAAAATGGCGACAGTTTCACAGATCGCAGCCCCCCAGGGATGGCGAGGTCTAATTTGAATCCGCCGTGGCCCTCACTGTGCTGGGCCCCCCAGCAGGCCTCGAAAGTGGCGACAGTTTCACAGATCGCAGCCCCCCAGGGATGGCGAGGTCTAATTTGAATCGCGCGTGGCCCTCACTGTGCTGGGCCCCCCAGCAGGCCTCGAAAATGGCGACAGTTTCACAGATCGCAGCCCCCCAGGATGGCGAGGTCTAATTTGAATCTGCGCGTGGCCCTCACTGTGCTGGGCCCCCCAGCAGGCCTCGAAAATGGCGACAGTTTCACAGATCGCAGGCCCCCGCAGGCAAGACAGGAAGAGGCAGGGAGGGAGGGAGGAGGAGGAAGGAGTGGAGACCACACTGCTCTATTCAAAACGAATACCCAACCAAGGAGGGTTGGGAAAAATACCCAAACTATTTAGACTCGCCTCGGGCATTGGCGCAATCAGGATAGCTTGAGACCTTAGTAGGCACAGCCACTTGGGGGATCCGGTGCGGGGAGCTTGTGGAGGGGAGTTCGTGAGTGGTAGTTGTTATACTCAGCATGGTGAGCTTCAGGGGTTACATCTCGACCTCTGCTCCCGGTACCACTTGGACCAAGACGTAAGGGGTCGCATCAAGCATCCGCGTTCCCTTTACTCTCCATGCGGTGGTCAGTCTGGCATGAAATGAAAAAGCGGGAGTACACATCGCGTCTACGTTTTTGCTCCACGTTTTGATTCCTGATTTCACTACGTATGCCCCTCCTGCGGCGGCGATTGCGAGGTGTCTTGCGATCAGCTTGCGTTTGGGGTGCAAGATGCGGACCCCCGCAGGGAAATTGTCTTCGTGCTTCCCGTGCCCCTAACCTCCTGACCGCCCATATGGTGCCTCTCAATGTATGGATGTGTTCTGGCGGTGGCACCGTCCAGCCTGGCCGCATCTCTCGTCTTCTTCCTTGAGTGGATCGGAGTCCGCGCGTGAAAATAAGATGGGAGAAGGACGTCCCGCGAATGCAACAGAGAACAAGTGGTCGCCCACGCGACCAGATCGGACGTTTCTCATGAGAACACAATGGGAAGCGTCTATGTACATGGCACCCCAAATGAAAGTCAAAACATCGAGTGAACCAAATCGGGCTGCGCACATAAACACACGCATTGAGGACATGCATACGCCCGATCTGATCTAGTTTGTGTGTTTCGGTTCGCCCGCACATGTTCAGTTTGCCTCCCCTTGTGTGGGTGTACACCGTATGTTGGCATGTTCCCGCTTTCGCAAAGTTTGGCTCGTATAGTTCAGGATTGCGGTGAAAGACGATAATGGATGCGCATATCGGGGACATGTAAGTATCTGTCGGTATTGGTCCGCTCGCTCATGACGCGTCTGCGTGATGGTGCTCAGCGATGACGGTGCCACTGCATGCTTTTGTTCACGAAGTGTTCTTAGATTGCCAGTCTGCTCCCCTTGCTAGTTTTAGAATTGGTCGGGGAAGTCCAGGGTCGCATTAAGTGGGGGAGCTCGCACGGGGAGGTCGGAGACACCCTCGCGATTACGTGCGCCTCTCCTCTCTCTAGCGTTTCCGCTGCTGCGGAGCTGCATGCAGCTCCTGTGGCTAGCAGCATGTCAACCCTCATGACTACAACCACGCGGTTCGCGTACCAGTCAGTCGTATCGTATCAGAGGGGCACCTCGTATTCAACACAAGATCATCAGTGAGGAATGTGCCGCTGTGCACCCTGAGATGCTTGCATCCCAGATCTGGAGCGCCTGAGCCCCCGTATACTTTCGGTGCGATGTTGGAGCCCCACCGTTCTCCTTCGTTCCCCTCATCATTCCGTCACACCTTCATTGCCATCAGCATGTTCAGGGCATGTTGCCTCATTGGTCATCAGCCGTTGTCCGTGGCCGCTTTTCCCTCCCTCCCCCCCTTTCCCCCCCGCGTTCCTCTTGACCTCTCCCTGCTCCCGCTCTCCTTCCCCCCGTCTTCCTCTTCCCTGCTTCCCATCCGCCTATCTCCCTTTCTCTTCCTCCTCGGGCTCCTCTTCCTTCACCGACGCGTGGAAGCGCCTCAGCTGCTGTTTGCGCAAGGCCCCCCCCCTCCCCCGCGCGCGTTGCTCGTTGGGGCCAGTGCCAGGCGTGGGATCCGCGAAGGAGCAGGAGCATGAGGAAGACGAGAAGGAGGGGAGGAGGTGTAGACAGGAAGCGCAGGAGGGGGGAGGGAGCAGGCTAGCAAGGAGCTCTCCTCCCGCCAATCCCTGTGTATGCTCTTTCCGACCTCCTTGTGGCTGGGCCTTTGTTGTGAACGCAGCACCTCCTCACAAGCGGTGCTGGCACCTGGGCAGGGCTCGTTTCGATTCCTCCGATTCGATTCGATTCGACTTCGATGGCTCCCGATTCCGATTCGATTCGACTTGGGATTCCGATTTGGGTTCCGATTTCTTATTGGAGGCATACTAGCCTGCCAATTTCAGCCGATTCGACTTTTCCCGATTCGGCTGCCGATTTCCGCCGATCTGATTCATTTCGACTGCCGATCCGACTTGTCGATCCGATTCTGGGCTCTCCTGCCTGGGGATACTCTCACTTGCTGCCTGAGGAGCTCGCCCTGCTGTGTGCAGCAGCCGGCCGCTCTTGGCCCGTGCGCCGTGGCCGGTGTCCTGGGCCTGCCCTGCGTGCCGCCGTCGGCCGCTCTCGGTCGTTGCTCCGTGGCGGGATTCCGTTGCCCCGTTCCTCCCCCTCCTCCTCCTCCTCCTCCTCCTCCTCCTCCTCCTCCTCCTCCCCCTCCTCCTCCTCGCCTCCTCCCTCCTCCTCTTCCTCCTCCTCCTCTTCCTCCTCCTCCTCCTCCTCCTCTTCCTCCTCCTCCTCCTCCTCCTCCCCCTCCTCCCCCTGCTTTCATGAACATTCTCAACTTTGAGCTCACACATGATAAATGTCGAGGCTTCCAGACTTACTGGCATGGGTATCAGCAATGGGCACAGGTTTCTCCGCTGTCGAGGATCTGCGTTGCCCTCGGCGACTTCACCATCCACGACGAGCCCGCCGTCTCTCTTCTGGACCCGCAGCCCATGATCCTTGCCAGCATTGGGGGTGACCAGCACCATCAGTCCTCTTGGAAGAGTCTCTTTTCATCGATGACCGAGGTCTCGAGTGGCGAGCCCACGCGGTTCGACGCCCATGCCATGAAGGAGACCAGGATTGACCGTGTCTTTGTCAGTCTCCCTGCTCACGCTTACCCGAATGTCTCGCGCACGTTGAAGGTAGACAAGGATCCTGCTGTACTCAGTGATCGTCGCCTCAGTGATCATGCGCTCTTGGATCTAACGATTGCGATCGCTGCTCCCAAGACGAGCGACATCCAGCCCATCCCCGCTTTCATCTTCCAGGTTCCCCGTTACAAGCAGAATGTCCCTCCTCTTCTTCAGCACTTGCAGCTGCAATCTACAACGGTGGAGCGACGATGGATTGGCTTCAAGAACATCATGACTGAAGCGGCTCGCTTCACTCGCAATCAACTCACTACGTGTCCTGGTACTCTCCGCTCCCAATCAGCTGCGGAAGCGCGTGTGCTCGCGTATCATTCCATTTCACGGGCCATATGGAGGCAGGATCTTCCCCTACTGGATGAGCTCAAATTTGCGGAGGCTCCGCGACGTGCCCATCTACAACATCTCCGTCTTCGCAAAGAGCAAGCGGTCGCTGCGGCACAGCGCGCTCAGCCGCAAGGTCGCACACTGGAGGTGTATTACCAACTCAAGCAAGCACGTTTACTTTAGAAGAGAAACAGTGCTTGGGCTCCGTTCTCACGGGCCCTGTCTCTGACTGGAAGTCCTCTCGCTGATGACGGAGGCGTTGTTGCGGATCTTGCAGCGCAAGGGGAAGCCTTGCGGGACCACTTGTTGTCCATCTTCTCGCACAAGCAGGTTGACGAACAGGCTCTCAAGGATTGCGTCTGCGAGTTTGCACCTCCCAGCACCACCACGCCGAAGCTCATCATTCCTTCTACTGCTGTTTTGCGCAGGGTCGCCCTCCGTGCTCGTGTCTCAGCGCCTGGTCCTGATCTTCTCCCATATCGAGCCTGGGCTGCCACTGATGGAGCACTGGAGGCTCTGGGGGATGTCACGTGGTGCTTCTTCGAATCAGGTGTTGCTCGTTCATTCCGAAGGGCGAGGAGGGGTCCGACAATTTCTGCTGCGCGCGCGAAGCAGGAACTTTGCGCCCGATCTCTCGGAAGAACACCGACTCCAAGATATTTGCGGGAGCCCTCAATCTACAGCTCAGACCGCATGTGGAAGCACATACTCATCATGATCATCAAGGATCCATTCGGGGACGGAACTACTGCAAGCACATTCGGGTGACGGGCGCCGAGGGCCGCGCGGCAGGATGGAATGCGAACGCCTCTCGTGACAAGCCTGTCCTGCTGCTCTTCGACATCGCTGCTGCTTTCCCCTCTCAGGTGGAGGGGGGGGGGCTTTTCAAGGCCCTCAACCAGTTCCAGTTCGAGAAGTGCTTTGTCAAGGCCGTCGCTGCGCTGTGCGATCAGACCATGGGATTCGCCATTCCCGATGGCCGCTGCTACTTTGTGCGCCCCTTGGTATCGGGGGTCGCCCAGGGCTGTCCCCTGTCTGGCACCACCTGGGCCATAGCGATGGATGTCATCGTCAGAGCTGCCAGTGCTGGGGTACCCGATTCCAAGGATGGCAGGACGCGTGCTTGTGCTGACGGCCTCGGACTTCACATTCAGCGAATGTCTCTCATGGTTCCGTTGGCTGACGCATTTCATCAAGCTGCGGCGCTCGGCAATCTTCATCCCAATGCCAAGAAATGTGTCATCATTCCTCTGTGGGCGAAGCTGCGTGGCGCGATCCGTGACGACGTCATCACCTTCCTTCATGGCCGCCTCTCCGACTGAGTCCCTTGCAGCGGGTGGGCTGCATCTTGGGGCGCATGCGGGCCCTGATGCGGCCGGCGACCTTCAGTGGGCAGTGGCTGGTTCCAAGTGGTGGCAGAGAGTCGTCGCCATTGGCCGTGCCTCAGCACCTGCGGATGCTAGCGCGAGGCTCTACCAGACCTCGGCGATCACGGTTCTCGGCTACCTGCCGCAGTCCTTTGATCTCCTTCCACAACTTTAGCGACAGGAGGCCCATGCAGTTCATAAAGTTCTTCGAATGCTGCCAAGCACCCTTCGCCTCAAATGTGTCAACTTGCTGAGTAGTTCGGCGCCTGGCATTGCCCCGCGCTCCTTGTTCATATATTCGCTTGGGGCTCAGTGGCGGGCCGCTCGTTTCACCCTCGACGTCGTGCAGCCTTTGTTCCAGGAGTTCTCTGGGGTCGCCCAATCGGCGTGCGGACTTCCCGCGTTCGCGAAGAACAAATGGTCGCCTGACTTCTGGAAGGGACCGCGGGCGATTGTCCAGCGCCTCGACGAGATCCTGCAAGGTCGCTCTGCCCAATTTCCTGCTCGCCGCCATTATGACCTGCTTCGCGCTGGCATCGTTGTTCAGAGAGCCGTTCGGGGCGCCGCTGAAGCTGGTTCCAGACCCAAGTCACAAAGAGCATTCATTGCTGCCTTGACCGCTTACTGGAGGAAGGACGAGTTCGAGGTCACCATCGCCAAACTGCTTACGGCATGGTTTGGTGCTGCTGTCGTGCCGCATGGTCTGAAGGCGCGGTGGACTACCCTCGAAGCCTTCCTGGTGACCGTGGCTCCCGCGTGGCGGTGGATCACGCTGCGGACGCTAGCGGGCGGATGGCGCACGCGCTTCCGCATGCACGTCGCTCCAGAGGTTGACCAGTGTCGGTTTGGGTGTCATCAGCAGCCAAACGCGACCGCCCATTATTTGGTATGTGATCGGCACCAGCATCTGGTTTGCTTCCCGCGGACCTTCGCGCAGGCCACTGCTTTGGAGCGCTTGGGCCTTGGATGCCGCTATGACGAGAACGGGGAGCACTCGCTGTCGATGACTATCCAGCGCCTCGTCCTCGCGTACTACGCGTACCTCGAGGTCAAGACCCAGGGCGTGAATGACTACTCCTTCCAGCACCACCTCCGCGCCCGCCTGGCCGCCATCGACCGCCTGAACATCACGGAGTAGCCTCCTGAGGCCTAGGCTCCCCGCCGCCGCGGCCGCTGCCGCGTCGTCACTGGAGCCCGCCCTCAGGCCACTGGCGCTCCTCTTTCTCCTCCTCCTCCTCCTCTTTCTCCTCCTCCTCCTCCTCCTCCTTCTCCTCCTCCTCCTTCTCCTCCTACTCCTCCTCCTCCCTTCCTCCTCTCCCCTCCTCCTCCTTCTCCTCCTCCTCCTCCCCTCCTCCTCCCCTCCTCCTCCCTTCTTCTCCTCCTCCCTCCTCCTCCTCCGCCTCCTCCTCCGAGGGCAGTGAGCAACTTGTTGGTCCATTGCTGGGGTTGCCCCAGGACTGGCCCGCTGGCTCTGTGCCTTCGTTGCCTTGTGTCTCTTCCTTTGACCCCTTCGGGGTTCGTCGGTGGCCTCTTCGGGGCCATTCTTGTGCCGAACTCTCGCTGGCCAACTTTGGTAGAGCGAGGGCAACTCGGGGCTCCCTTCTCCTCCTCCTCCTCCTCCTCCTTCTCCTCCTCCTCCTCCTCCTCCTTCTCCTCCTCCTTCTCCCCCCCTCCTCAGGGCCCAAGAGACGGGGGTCCATACAAACGGGGGTCAGCCAGAGCGCCCGATTTTGCAGGATCCTGCAGGGCCAGGGTCGCATTGAGCCTCCAGGCTTGGTTGCAGGACCTTGCAGGAGATATTGCAGGATCCTGCAAGGCCTGACCGACCCGGATCTGGAGTGGCCCGGGTCAGAAGATCCCCGAGGGTCTTCGGACGGTGCTAGGACGAAGATAAATCCGTTCCAGACCTTTCCGGAATGCTCTCATAGCGTTCAGGGACATTTCGAGAAGGCCGCGGCGCCCGATGCATTCTCCAGAGCTGCCAGATCTCAGAGATTCTCGATTTAGCCTCACCAGATTTATCCTCGTCTTGGCTTCGTCTTACTGCTATGTGGCCCAGCTTTTTGTCGGTGTTTTTGTAGTTGGTGCCATAAGATGCGTACGTTGGTCCCCTATGGTTGGTGCGGAACCTACCATGTGGTTGGTGCCGAGCAGTGGAAACCCATGCCAAGAACCACCCTGCTTGCCTCCAGGGTGCCCTGGGTTTCTTGGGTTTCGATGGTTTGGCAATGGAAAGCGCGACGTTCCCACACCAACACTTAATTGGCTGCCTGAGGTCTCAGGGTCGGGTTTGTTGTGGGAGGTTTCTTGTGGTCGAGCTCCTACTGAACTGTTCGTGGCCCGCGGTGGGTCGGCATGGTTCTTCCCATACGTTGCATTTCCCAGATCGTGCACTGTAGCTTGCGCTACATATCTGGATCCCCAGGGTCTCACCCCATATATCACACCCTTCATACCTCGCAGAACCGCTGATTAGAGTCTGCGTGCTGGCATCATTGATCCTTGGCCCTCGCCGCCCCATGGGGGGAGCTTGCCCGCGCATGAGGCCAGAATAGCCACCGCCCCTCCCTTCCCCCTCCCCCCTATCTCACACCCCTCGTTCCTGCTCCTCTTCATCCTCTCCGTACTTATCCTGGTTCGAACCCTCCAGCACCTTCCCAGCCCATTCTGCCGAGAGGTCGTGGCATCCCTGCCCCAGCACTTTCTTGAATATGTAGGGCGTTTCAATTACATGACCCGCGAAACGAGACAACTCCACGAGCTGTCGCCGATGTTCCTTGCTTTATTGCTTTCTGTCGTAGTCACAGATGCGCTCGGACTCAGGCGTGCCTTATCATTGCAAGATGCGGAAAAGCATGCCCTTCAGCGGGCGGACGACGTTTTACTATTTGTCCCGGGCTTCTCACATGAAGGAGATGCCAGGCGATTCCGTGACCACGTCATTTCGAAAATGGTTCCCCGTGTCGATTGTGTCGTGTACAATTATACAATTGCTTGCGGCAATCCCCAACACCGTGCCAGCGTAGCAGCGCAGGAGGAGGGGAAACGAGGTTGCGTTTAAGACCCGCCTCAGTTCAGTGCCCTGTCTATATTGGCGAGGGTCTGACGCAACCTCTTTGACCGGAGCCTCGCTCTCCCCTTTCTTTCTCTTTCTTCCTTCCTCCTCCTCCTTTGTGCTCTCCTCACTTCTCCCCCTCCATCGCAAGTGCACATTAGAAGCTTACTGTTGGCTTTTTCGGGACTCTTCGGTTCTTCCTAGGGGCCACTCGCGGGGTTGCTGTGAGCCCCTTGGGGCGCTTTTTTGTGCGCAATGTTTTTTGCCGAGCTCTCCCATCTCGGGGCCCTCTCGGGGCCATGTTGGGCCGTGTCGGGTGGGAGGTTTATTGGGGCTCTGTGGAGTTTTCCTTGTGCGATCTGAATGCCCCAAAGTCTCGAAGCTATCCATGTATACATCGACATGTGTACACATATATGTACTCATATGTATGTACACACGTACATGTGCATACGCCTGTGCACGTGTATCTACGCACACAAAGATATTATGGGGGGGAGAGAGAGAGAGAGAGAGAGAGAGAGAGATCGAAGACGCCTACGGCGAATGGCCGCCGCCCCCTGCCTTTTGTAAGCACCTATGTAGCCGAACACTGCGGCCAGGGCTCGGCCAAGCTATCGGACTATGTGTTCCCCTAGCCATTGCTGAAACCCTTCAGGAAACATGTGGGGCAGAAAGAAGAAGAGGAGAAGAGGGAAGAAAAAGGAGGAG